TATTGCAATAAATATTGATTATATATAAGTGTAATAATAAGTGAATTGTTTTATTTGTTTGATTTGTTTTATTAAATTTTTTTAATATTAATATTTCAAAAATATAATATGATGTAAATATTATTATCTTTAGATATCAAAGAAATGCTTTTATTTATTTTAGCTGACCAGGATCTCCTTAACAAACAACAACATGTCATCCAACTTCTACAGAAAATTTCCCAACCAATCCCAAATCAGGAACTTCAAAATCTTGGTGCTAGTTATGACATTGAGAGTAATTCTCATCAATATAAGAACCCAATCATTGTCATGTACTATGCAGGTGCTGTAAAAGCAGGTTTAGTTCAACCACAAGGTACAACTTTCAGCAATTCGATCAGCCAACTTCGCAAAGAAGTTTCTCTTCTCTATAGGATTCTTTTGGGTGCTAAGGATTACCAGACTTTCCTCAAAACTGCTGCATGGGCCCGTATCCATGTTAATGAAGGACAATTTCTTAAGGTATAAGAATTATTTAAATAAAAATATATTATTATAATAGATTAAAAATATTTTTTATTATTTAATTATTTATATTTTATTATTCTCATATTGTATATACTATATTTTATTACATAATTTTGCTGTTTCGTTCAACAGGCATTTGTTGCTGCTGTATTAACTCGTCAAGATACTCAAGGTGTCATCTTCCCACCAGTTTATGAAATTTTACCCCAACATCACTTGGATTCACGAGTTATTCAAGAAGCTCAAAATATTGCTATTCAAAACACTCAAGAAAAAACCAATCAACAAAACATTCTTATTCCTGTTAACTATTCTGCACTCTTATCTCATGATGAACAACAGCTATCTTATTTTACTCAAGATGTTGGTCTTGCTGCATACTATGCCCAAGTTAATCTTGCTGGATACATTCAAGAAGTAAATATTCTAAAAATCAATATTAAATACTTTTTTGAAAAAACATTATAAATAATATAATTGATATTTGGAAAACATTATAAATTAATGTAATCAATTTCTGTAAAGGATCAACAACAACAGCAACAACAGCCTTTAACTCAACAACAATATCAGCAACAGATTGTAGGAAAATATTTGCAACAACAAGCAGGACAACAAGATCAACAAACCAATATTGGTCGCGGAGCTCAATATCTGTACCTTCATCAACAACTTTTGGCACGCTATGAACTTAATCGTCTTTCGAACGGACTTGGTCCTATTAAGGATATTGAATATGAAAATGTACAAAGTCTCTATCAACCTCATCTTCGCGGTCTCAATGGACTTGAATTCGCAGGCCGTCCTCAGAATCTTCAACTCCAACCTCAAAGAAACCAGCTTATCCAATATGTTGCGACTTTAGAAAAAAGACTGAGAGATGCTATTGATTCTGGAAATGTTATTACTCCACAAGGTGTCTTTCTTTCTCTGTATCAACCACAGGGTATGAACATTCTTGGTGATCTGATTGAAGGAACTGGTAGAAGTGTTAATCCAAGGTCAGTAAAAAATATATAACTATAATTTAAAATTATATAAATATATTTCTATTATTCGTTTTTCATTTTAAATAGGTATTATGGAAGTCTACAAGCTGCTGCTCGCAAACTTCTTGGAAATGCTCCTGAAGTTCAAAACATTTGGGACTACACACCATCATCACTTGAACTTGGAGAAGCTGCCGTCCACGATCCAGTTTTCTATCAATTATATAAAAAAGTTATGAACCTTTATCAACAATATCAACAATCTTTGCCTGCCTATCAATACAATGATCTTATTCTTCCTGGAGTTACCATTCAGAATGTTGATGTCAGTCAACTTGTAACTCTTTTCACCGATTTCTACGTTGATCTCGATGCCGTTACTGGTCACCAATCTCAACAGCAACAAGAAGAACAAACTCAATCTCATGTTAGAGCTCATATGAAGAGACTGGATCATCAACCTTATCAATATAAAATTACAGTTCATAGCGAACAGAACGTGCCAAGCGCAGTTGTCCGTGTCTTCCTTGGACCCAAACACGATCATCAAGGCCAACCTATTAATATTTCTAAGAATCAACATCTCTTTGTTGAACTTGATCAATTTATCCAGAACCGTAAGTTTCAATGTCTTTTCTTCTAATAAATAATTTATTTATAAACAATTTTTTTATGATTAATATATTTTGTATTTAGTCCATGCTGGTGAAAATACCATTGTTAGAAATTCTCAACAAGCTCCTGGACAGAGCTCCGATTGGCCATCTACTTCTCAAATTCAACGAGGAGTCAATGCTGCTATCCGATCCCAGGAACCATTCTATATCACTGAGGTTAATAAAGAGGTTTTTTTTATAAAGAAAAAGATTAAAGATATTAGGAAATTTTGTAATAATCTAATAATATTTTTACAGCCACATCAAATCTTCAGTTTCCCTGCTAGATTATCCCTTCCCAAAGGTCAGCCACAAGGTTTCCCTCTTCAGTTCTTAGTTGTGATCTCCTCATCAAACCCACTTAACGTCCCATATGGACCAGTGATCCCTGAACAAAGTTTGACTTACCAAAATCAACAATACCAAGTCGTAAGCGTTGAGCAATATCAACAACTGAAACAGCAAGGTCAAATTTCTCAAGTAGGCGGAGGAATTCAGCAAAATATAGAAGTTCTTCCTGAAAATTTGGTCAATGCTCAGCAACAAGTTCAAGGTATTATCAATTATTATCAATAATAATGAAATGAATACGTATGTCATCGCTAATTGTGCATTATATGATTTCTTCTTCACAGCTGTTAGAAACTATTATGCTAATCTTTACACTAAATACCACGGACAGTACCCGAACACACAAATCCAGAATCCTGTAGGCCAAGGACAAGACATGACATATTCTATTCAAGGAGTTGGAGTTGTTAATGCAGGTTGGTTAGGACAGCAAGGCAGTTGGAATCAACAACAAATGCAACAAGCTCAACAGGTTCAACAACAAATACAAGCAGCAACGGCAGCGGTACAACAGAGTCAACAGAGGCATCAACATGCTGCTCAAATGATCTATGGACATCAACAATCTCATCATGGTTTACATATTAATTCTCCATTCGGTCAATCTGTACAATCTGGACAACAACAACAATCTGGACTACAAGGATTACAAGGTGTACAACAAGGTGTCCAAGGCGTCCAAGCAACTCAAGGTGTCCAGGGTGTCCAGGGTGTCCAGGATGTCCAAGGTGTCCAAGGTGTCCAGGGTGTCCAAGGTGTCCAAGGTGTCCAAGGTGTCCAAGGCCTGTCGTCCGTTCTGCAAGGAGTACAACAAGTATTTGGACAGGATGTTCAAGGAATGAATGTTCCATATGGCATGCAAAGAGGCCAGAGTGGAGCTCAAACATGGCCAAACTCTCAAGTCCAAGGCTCAATCTCGGGAAGTGGTATGGTCGCTAGTGGACAACAACACGCTGGTGGCTGGCAAAGTATGTACGCTCAACCGCAAACCGTTCAGGACCAGATAGTCAACGAATACTACCAGAATAAGCCGGTCTCAGAGGTTATTGGCGGTGCCATTTCTCTTGACGGCAAACCTCTCGGTTTCCCACTGGATAGACCATTGTCTCTTGGTGCACTCAGCGTTCCTAACATTTTCGTAAAGGATGTTCTCGTCTTCCACCAAGGTCAACCCACCAATGACATCACTCAGTAAATATTCCTACGATGAAGCGCACAAATGTTGTTAGTAATCGTATGAGAATGATTTATGTGAGAGACTTAGCGCGCACAAGATATTGTTAATTAAAAAAAAAAAAAAATTATCGATGTGAATTACAATGAATTACAATGAATAAATTTGCTGTCAAGAGCAAACGTTTATTGTAAAATTTAATCTTTTTCACCATATTCAAATCGTTTATTTTTCCAAAGTTCGGGGAATTTTCAAATAATCAAGAAGCAGAAAATTTATATTATCGTTTTATTAAACAAATTTTTTTCACAGGATACTAGTATCAACAAAAATATTAAAATATTATTTTAAAATACTGTACTGTCTTCGACGTCGCTCTGCCAATTGTATTTCAATCCATGATTATTCTCCAGTCATCATTTCCATGAATTCTAAGAATTACAAAAAATTATGCAAATAAAGCGAAATTGTTCATCCTCTCGAGGGATCTATCGTCTACGTACCATCAAAATCAACTGTTCCCGATCCATCGGTATCAATTTCAGCAATTATACCGTCTAAATCCGCACTGGTAAGTTTATCATCGAGAGCAGCAAGAATCTCCTTCAATGTAGCAGTTGTAATATATCCATTTCCCTCGCGATCGTATAAACGGAAGGCCTCTTTCAATTCCTCTTGCATCGCCTCTGCATCTTCCTCCTCCAAGAATCGACCAGCGATTCTGCAGAATCCGTCGAAGTTTACTTTACCAGTCCCTTCCGGATCATTCTCCGAGATCAAAGCATTCAAATCGGAATCGTCGAATAATTGACCCATCGTGTTCAATATCGTTGAAATTTTCAACGTGTCGATGAAACCGCTTTTCGTCGTGTCGAACATTTGAAATGCTTTTCGCATTACAGCCATTTTTTGATCGTCTTCCTCCTGCAAATTGTATTGTATATATATATATACATACATATATATATATTTTATTAAAAAATTTCTCTGATCATCAATGAATTTATTTTCATATCACAATTATATTATTCATGCGTATACGTATGTATTGCCCACTTTTATGAAATAAAATCACCATCGATTTATCTTATATCGAGAGAACGTTGATCGTGACGCGAACTTAGAATTCGACGAGGACGAAGCGTTTACGCGAGTCTTACCATGGTGACGGATACTTCGCACGGCGGACGACGGATACCTGAAGTGCCGCGGCTTTTCCGTCCCGGTATAAAGACATCCACCAGCGTCTGGTAAACCAGCTAGAAAACTGGTGGGCGCAAAAATAGAGCGACGCGACGAAAAATGAAATATGTTATAAGTGGGTCCCTCCGTAATGTCGGAAGGCCGACGCTAAATCACACAGAGGATTGCAATTCGAATTGCACCTGTACATTTTGATTTCTTAAATTATATCATTGAGATGCGGTAGTCGTGGTGTACCCTATTACTGGATCACGGATTATTTTCATTCCTATATAACAATAATCCCGTTTCAAACGTGATATTTAAAGCGTCGAATAGAATCGTGATTACGTTATGAATCGTTCAGATCGGCACTTGGGTGGATGGGGAAATCAATATCTCGAAAATATCGTGCTCATTCATAAAACTTTTCACAATGGTTAAAAGAGGTGATTGAGTGTGAAAGAGTATCTACATATATTTATTTTAATTTATTTTTATAATATATCACAGTTACATAAATATATCTAAATATAATTGTGATATAAAAGTAAAGAAAGAGAAATTTTCCAAATATTTATTAAATAAGATAAATAAGAATATTTCG